TTTAGTTATATATTCTAAGTGTGCCTAGTTGCAATTTGATATTTGTTTACTATATAAAAAATGATTTACGGGAAAGACATTAATCTAAGACCTTAATTTTATATAATAAGAGTATTAAATAAAAAGAATAAAATTAGTGTATATAAAATAAAAAATCTCTAAGAATTACAATATAAGCATATAAAAAACTTATGTACCTATGTTCAATATTAAATAGTATAATTTGAATATTACTTAAACTATTATTTAAACTACTATTTAACATTAACATAATTTTATAAAAATATATATCTGTAAACTTATGTATAGAAGCTTGAATGACAGTTTGAATGGCATTCAAATCATATTATCAAATATGTCAAATTTTTTAAATTTTATAAATAAATATAAATCTAATTATCGCTTAACTCAGTATAAATCATATAACTATACACTTGTTTACTATAATATAAAGAATCTTTTTTGGATTAAACAAAACATCAGAAATTAAACCAGATAAATTAGATGCACTAAGTATTTAGAGAGAAATAAATGTAATTTTAAAAGAGCTAAAATTAAAAACTGAAGTGAGAGCAAGATATTATCATATGAGTGCTTATATGTGCTTGAATGAATTTGATAATACTTTAAAGTGGTTTGCAAATTATTAGAAGATTTATCAGACAACATTACTTTATTACTCATTCGTGCAGGCATTTACTATGAATAGAGGTTGGAACCAGTTGTAAATTTAAGAACCGAATTGATTTTACATGCAATATAAAACTGGTTATTATTTGATTTAAATCGATTGGAATTAAACCAAATTACAAATAACATAGAACCAGTTACTATTTGGCTTCAACCAGTTTGAAATTAAACCGAATTAGAATCGGATTGTGTGCAATTCGAAAAAAAATTTTTGTTAAAAACAAAACTTGAAATCAATTTCACATTACGAACAAGGTCTGCACCATACATGATGCGATTGTTGTAACTGCTAAATGAAGTTAAATACTAGTAATAGTTGCCAATTTTAGGCAGTATAATTTTAAGTACTAACTTCAGGCACAACTAAACTACGATGAAGAGTCTTTTTATAATGTTAAGATAAAAATTCAAAGGTTTTATTCGTGCATTAGTATTGTTAAAATAAAGTTGACCTTTAATAAATAAGTATTGCAAATTCATTAAGTTAAATCATGTAATAAAGTATTTTTCAATAGAAATAAAATTTAGTTTTGTATACTAGATATTGAAATACTTATACAGTGCATACAATATTTAATAACAGCAAGCATTTGCATACATAATGAATTTAAGCTATTGCGTTGAAGACATTTTAATATACTTACCTAAACTATTGCATTTGAAATATTTTAATATATTTACTGTTTCACTTTAAAAATAAAAATTTATTTACTAGATCTGGTGATAGTCATGTTCTTTTTGATGTAACATGATTATTAGCATCAGAAAATAATCTTTCAGATGGAACCGAAGTTGCTGGAATTGAAAGATATTTCCTGGCCAATTGTGCAAGAATTGGCAATTTAGCTTTATGTGATTGCCACCACTTTATTGGATCTTCATTAAGCCCAATGCTATCCAAAGTTAGATAATGTGTTACTTCATCTAGTTCAGTCAATTCTAATGCCTGACATGGTATAATTTTCAATTGATTAAAAAAGTCATCACCATCATTATCATCATTGTCATGAATTGATAAAGTGTTTGCTGAAAAATTATTTAAATTTAGTAGATCCAAAGCCGTTTTCCTCTCAATATAGGACCGTTCAAGTAATCTTCTTGCATCAGCTAATTGATCTGGTGCCCATTGAAAAATTTTAAACCATGGGTCTAGAGTAGACGCCATTAATGCAGCATCAGAAGGTATAGTCCAAAGCTTATTCAGAGACAAAAATATAGCAGCTCGAACTCTTTGCAACAAACCACTTGGATTAATAGAAGGCAAGTATTCAACTTTATTATTATTATCAATATTAGTGCCTTGTTGTACTTGTTTTTTTGATTGAAATTTTCTTTTTACTTCAACTTTCTTTTTTCCTCTTCCTCTTCTCATATGTTGCTGAAATTGTCTATGAGCATACTGCAATGTCGACGAGTTCCACAACTTGGTGTATCATTATCATCACTAACTGAACTTGAACTATCATCTGTACTTTTATCTTTATCAGAATTATAACCATAAATTAGGTTAAGATATTGTTGTTTTGTTTCTCCTTTATTTAACTGCGAAACAAATGACTTCTTGAGAATTTCTATATATAGATAAACAGCACTAAATGTTGGATAATCTGCACCAGAAATACGACGTGTAATTTTTTCTATAGGTGCTAACATATTAACTACATCCTGAAGAAACCTAAAAAATAATGAATAAAAAATTAATTAAAAATAAAAAATATATAATTATCTATTGTAATAAAAATATTACTATTCACCACTACATACAGTATTCTCGCCTGGCTTAATTTTTGAATATTACCTGGGGTATAACTATATAGTACTGATTCCTCAGATACTATTCAATTTAAAAAAGAAGATTGTGAATAAAACCCAAATACTGTATGCAGTAGCAAATAAAAAAATGCAATTTTGGATCTAATCCTATTCACAAAGTATTCATATCACATAATAATATAATATAATTCTTAATAGTTTAATAATTGTTATAGGTGAAACAATTTAATCCTTATACATATTAAAAAAACTTGCATACATGCATTTAATTTATTAATAATTAAATACATAAATATATAATATACTGTTGTATAAGCTTTTTGCAGTACTATTGAAATAAAACTCACTGTTGTTCATCCAACGTAAGACATAATTGGTCTAGTTTTTCACTCTCTCTTTGTGTAATTCGATTGGAATCCAAAAGCAAAGAATTAGAAACATGACGCATTGCATTATGTAGTTCTAAAACATGTTTCCAAGCATAATAAACTGAATTCCAACGTGTTTTTGTATCATCCAAAACATCTAGTAGATTAGTATATTTATCTTCTAATTGGGAGGATGGATTAAGCTCATTTTGAGCTAGATGAAGTCTTTCAGATTGCTTTGGAAGCCTAAAAAAGATTTGTAAATTTTTTACCCATCGATGAATATGCTTGTATTGTTTAAGTCCTTCTAACACTGAAAGCTGCAGTTTATGAGCTGCACATAGTTATCTAATTACTTGTGAAAGAAAATTTTCTGAAAGTATGTTAATTCTACGAATCATGTTGGAACCATTGTCTGTTATAATAGAACAAACAGAACTTTGTAAACCCCATTTATTGATTATATTATACAGTTCTTGGCTAATAACTTCTCCTGAATATGGATATGCTAAATTCTCACACTTTAAAAGAACTTCTCGAAATTCGAATTCAGGAGTTAGCCAAGTTCCTGTTATTCTAGATATCCATGTCATGATTTTGCAGTCCATAAATCTGTAGTTAAATGAATGGCTTCTATATTTGTATTCAACATTATTTTTTTTAGCTGATCTTTACATAAATGATATGCCTGATAAATCATATTTTTTGCCATTTTCATACATGGAATTTCATAACTGGGTATACAAGTTTCCATTAAATCATGAAACGATTCATCATTTAAAATATATAATGGTTTAACAAATTTAATGATAAAGGTGATCAATTTATGGGTAATTAAATTTTGTTGATTTGGCGATATTGTGTTATATATGCCATTTTTTGAATAACTGGATTTAACTAATATAGCATAAAATAATTAATACTTATACACATATAGTAATATTTAAAAATGAATTAAATGAAATTACTTTGTTATTATCATTCAGATACTCTTTAAAATTTACTTTCGTAATGTTATGTTTATCTCATAGATGTCCAATCAAATTAGAAGTGTATTCACCTTTTTAACATATGGATGAGGTTTTTTACCACTTCCAGCTAAGTTTTTTTTACAAATTTTACAATAAATGACTTGGGAATTTGTTTCACATTATTCAAAAAAGTAAGTAGTGTAACTTTGATTGATTCGTGATTTCTGTTTTTTTTTTTGCTTTCCTTTATTATCTGCAAGTGAAGAGTCAGAAAGCTGACTATCATACGATGAATTAAAAGATTCTGAACGAGACATAGTTTGTGAAATTGGAAGATAATAGTTTTATTTTTTTTTTATTTCGATAAATAGTGATAAACAATAAAAGATAATACAATTAATATTATTAATGAAGAAATGATGTAATTATTAATGAAAAAGTTATGTAATTATTAATAATAAAATGATGTAATTTAGAATAAATATTGTCCAAAGCAGAGCGAACAATTTTACTATCCAGACATGTTATGGGTGCCTGTATTATTGTCAATTTAGAATATTTGTAAAAAAAAAAAAAAAAAAAATCTAGCTTTATTTGTAAACTAATACAATAATAATAATAATAATAAATCTAGTTTTATTTGTGAACTAATACAATAATAATAAAAAAAAGGAATTTAGCTTCAGAGCTTTATTTGCGAACTAAAATAAACACGCAAAAGAATAAAAAAAAAGGTAAATAAATAAATACAATAATAAAATAATAAAATCCTAAAACTCAGAATCTTCATTATTCCCGTACTATACAAAAACATATGTATAGATACATGTGTGGACAACTTAATATTTCAAGATCAAAATAAAACCGGTTTGTCTGAGTTTTATAACTGAATTATAACACTACAAAACCGATTTAATATAAAACCAGATCAACCCTAATTTACAGTCAAATTTTATTAATCGGTTCCAACCTCTAACTATGAACAAAGAGTCTTTTAGATATAAATAAAATATTAGAAATTGTGCAAATAATTTAAATACAACGAATACCCATGGAATAATTTATTTAAAATTGAATAAATACATGAAGTATTCATAGATTTGAATAAAGAACTAGAAGTTGAGCCAAACTGTAAAGAGATGATGTTAAGTTGTATTGAAGCTAATTTAAATATAAATAAGTTCAAACAAATCATGAAGAAATAAACAGTTTATTAGAAAATAATCTAAATTATATTAGATTCACAAATTAACTTATATGGTTTTAGTTTGATATCAAGAGTCTTTAGATGATTTTACAAGTTCATTAGAAATAAAGCAAATTGACTTAGGAATTCGTTTAGAACTGAAAGATATTGTAGAATTATAAACCAAATGATGTGTAATTACAAAGCTGATTTATATCATTTTAATGAATCCTTAAAAATCACACCTGGTGATAAAGTCTCTAAGTGAATATGCAAAAACATATAAAATGTTAAATCGTTATGAAGCATCTATCAATGATTTTAATAATTCAATTGAAATAGAAACAATTAATTATCTCATCTTTTAACAATTAACTCTCAGGCCAAAAAGCTTCAACTATACTTCCATGCAACTATAATCCAACCAAATACCCCAAGCTCACAGGTCCAATTTGCTTGGATTCTTACACCTATCAATATTACATTCTATTCTCAAATTACACACTGGCCCTCTATTACATGAGCTTACTTATTGGTATTATAACAATACTAAACATTGCTTTACAACATTGCCAAATAACAGTCTTTATGACACATAAATCAATAACCAACTATATTAACTCACTTCCTATACCAACATCAAACACAACACTTACCCTACAAAAACACAATCACTGGCCACTCAAACTCTTAACACAAACTATTATTGCTCACAAACACCTTAAAATCAAATGTATTAATATAGAGAACCCTGATAACCACCCTCTTTACAACAGAACAATTCATCTTTCTACTACAGCACAACAATATAAACTTCATATTCAACCTCATGACTTGGACAATAATAACTTCTATCTTACTTGGAATGGAATACCAATAGAAAATAAAACCCGTCGCTTCATTCACCATCTACAAAATGCAACTAACACTACAAAATGACATGCCTTAAATAGAACTAGTCATTGGAACATTATTCGTCACAATACCAACTGAGATCTGATATACCAATCTATCAATTACAACAACAAACCTAACACTCATGCTACCCATCCTAAGCACTCACAATTAAAAAACTTTAAAATTAAGTTTTTACTAAATGAGTTACCTACACTGTTAAATCTACACTACAGAAAACCTAAAACCTATACCAATCCAACCTGTAATCACTGCACATTACATATAGAGGATAACCTACATTGGCTTGAATGCCAAGCAAACCCCATAACCCTCAATTAACTACTTCAACAAACAATATACAAGTTCTGTACAAAACACAAAATAGAAAACAGCAAAATACCTGTTCTATTGCAACAATTTACTTCAACACAAACTACTACTCAACATTTTCTTCGAATACAAGGTTTAATTCCAGATGATATATCCACAAACTGCAACATTACTTCAAGCCTACTTGTTAATCTATTCCA